AACTTTTAGAGTGCTAAAGTCATTGTTCTCTCCTCATTGCCTCCACCTTCTTTATAGAAACAAAGTATCCATAAAACAATGGGAAAGCAATTAACAAAATAGCAGTAGTTAATCAGTACCTGTTAATAATTACCTTGAATGTGGCTGGATTATATTATCCAGTAAAAAGAGTGAATGAATAGATTAAAAACCAAGACCAACTATAATCTGCCTACAAGAGACTTGCTTCACTTTTAAGGACACACACAGACTGAAAGTGAAAGAGTAGAAAAGGTATTCCAAGCAAATGGAAATCAAAGGAAAGCAGTGGTAGCAATACTTACATCAGACAAAATAGACTTCACGTTAAAAACTAGTAAAAAGAGACAAAGGAGGACATATAATGATAAAGGGGTAAATTGATAAAGAAGATTTAACAATTATACATGCATTCAATAATGAAATGCTTAAGTATATAAAGCAAATATTAAAGGATCTGAAGGAAGAAGGAGATTGAAATACAATAATATGAAGGGATTGCACCACTTTATTGGATAAATCATTCAGACAGAAAATCAATAAGGAAATATTGGGCTTAATGCTCTAGGACAAATGAACTTAACACATATCCAGAACACCCCATCCAACAGCACCAGAGCATGCCCTTGTCTGCAGCACACGTGGGGCTTTCTTCAGAATGCATCATACATCTGACCACAAAACATGTCTCAGCAAATTTAAGAAGATCAATAACCTATTAAGTATCTTTTTGAACCAGAACGGTATGAAACTAGAAATCAATAATAGGGGGAATTTCAGAAAATCCACAAATGGCAGTTAAGCAATGTGTTTCTGAACAACCAATGGGTCAATGAAGAAATTAAAAGGGAAGTAAGAAAATATCTTGAGACATTCAAAAGGGGAAAAAAACAATATACCAAAACTTGGGGATGCAGCAAAAGCTTTTTTTTTTTTTTCCTTTTTCTTTTGGGTGATGGAGATCAAATCCAGGGTCTTATTCATGCAAGCAGGAGTTTTTCTACTGAGTTACACCCCTATCCGCTAGCAAAAGCTGTTGGGGTGTGTGTGTGTGTGTGTGTGTGTGTGTGTGTGTACATACTAGGGATTGAAACTACAGGTACTCTACCACTGAGCTATCTATATCCCAGATTTTTTTTTTTTTATTTCAAGACAGGGTCTCACTAAGTTGCAGAGGTTGGCTTTGAACTTATGATCCTCTTGCCTCAGCCTCCCAAGTTGCTGGGATTGTAGGCATGAGCCACTTTGCCAGGCTAAAGCTAGTTTTTGAGAAGATTAAAAATTAACAGATCTTTAGCTAGACCTCCCAAGGGGGAAAAAAGACTCAAAATTCACAAATTAAAATAAGAATATTATAGCTAATGCCACAGAAATAAAAAGTATTGTAAAAGACTACCCTGAACAATTATATGCCAAAAAAAATGGGTGTCCTAGGAGAAATGGATAAATTCTTAGGTTTATACACATAACCTACCAAGACTGAATCATGAAGAAATAGAAAATCTATTAATAGAATTAACAGTCTAATAATAGAAAATTGAGGATACTGACCCAGTAATAAATTCTCCCATGAGAGAAAAACTCCAGACTTGGTTGAATCTAATAACAACTGTCCACAAACTTTAAAAAAAATTTGAAGTAGAAAACTACAGACTTTTTTTTTTTAATGAGATCATCCACTGGTACCAAAGTCAGACAAACTCATTACAAAAAAAAGAACACTACAGGTTGGGCATAGGCCAGCTAGTGTGAGCTGGGAGCTGAGAGGACCCTGCTGTGGTACTGGTGGTGCGGGGCAGCCAGAGCATCTGCAACCAGGACCTGCACCTGCACCATTTTCTATAGCTGTTAAAGGAATAGCAGCACTTCAGTAGCTGGGGAGCTGAGGGAAGCCTGATGAGAAATACTTGTCCACTGTTGTAGAAAATGCAAATGAATCCAGCCATTATGGAAACTGTATGAGCATTCCTCAAAAAAACAAAAACAAAAAAAAACCAAAAAAATAAAACTATTTTATTGAGTAATTCTACTCCTGGCCTTGCCCATATTCACTGCAGCACTATCCCCACTAATAGATTATGGAATCAACCTAAGTGTCCGTCAGTGAATGAATGGCAAAAGAAAATATGATATGTACACACAATGGAATACTATTCACCAGGGTCAGTAGGGGTGCAATCAGAGGACATTGTGCTAAGTCAAATAAGCCAAACACAGAAATGAAAGTATCGCATGCTTTTCATGTATATGTAGAATCTGGAACAACTGGACTCCTAGAAGCAGAGAGTAGAATAGTGGCTACCTGAAGCTGGGGGTTGGCAGGAAATAGGGAAAGGATAATTAAAGGGTCTGAAATCTCAGTTTTACAAGAGAATTAAGTTTGATTTGGATGTTTAAAAAAAAACAAATCTAATCACAGCATGATGAATATAGCAAATAATTGAGTACTGCATGTTTTTATATCACGGAAAGAATAGATCTCAAATGTTATCACAAAACACATTAAATGTTTGAGGGAATGGATGAGTTAATTGGTTGGATTTAATCATTCCACACTGTATTCAGAAGTCACAATACTTTGTACAGCATATGTATGCAACTAGAGTTTTCAATATATAATGAAAATGTGCTATCTGCTAATATGTTTACAGAATAAATTTTGCATTATTCCATTAAATAGAAAGCGGGATACAATATTGAAATATGCTAAAACATGTATGAATCTTGAAAACATCATGCTAAATGAAAGATGCTAATTACTAGTTAAAAAAGACCCTATATGATGTGATTCTTCATGAAGTGTCCAGAATAGGTAAATCTAGACAGAAGGGAAAATTAGTGGCTGCTTAGGGATGATGAAGCAGGAAGTAGAGCAGATAGGGAGGTGATAACTAGAGGGTACGGGTTTCTTTTTGAGATAATAAATATATTCTAAAACTGACCTGGTGACATTTGTACACACTTGTGAACATTCTAAAAAACCACTGAATTGTACACTTAAATGGGTGAATTGTATGGTATGTAAATTATCTCAAAATGTTATTAAAAAAAGAAGTACCAGTTAAATGGAACATATGGTTTTGGACTGGTTCTTTTGTAATAAAGGACATTATTGGGACAACTGGGGAAATTTGAATGGTGTCAGCAGAGCATCAGTGTTAATTTCCTGATTTGATGGTTGTATTTCACAAATGTAGGAGAATAACCTTTTTTCTTTTTTTATTGATTTTTTAAAAAATAAACGATAGTGGAATGCATTACAATTCTTATTACACATATAGAGCACAATGTTTCATATCTCTGGTTGTATATAAAGTGTGTTCACATCAATTCGTGTCTTCATACATGTACTTTGGATAATGATGTCCATCACATTCTATCATCATTGCTAATCCCTGCCCCCTCCCTTCCCCTCCCACCTCTCTGCCCTATCTAGAATTCATCTAATCCTCCCATGCTCCCCCTCCCTACCCCACTATGAGTCAGCTTCCTTATATCAGAGAAAACATTCGTCATTTGTTTTTTGGGGGGATCGGCTAGCTTTACTTAGCATTATCTTCTCTAATGCCATCCATTTACCTGCAAATGCCATGATTTTATTCTCTTTTATTGCTGAGTAATATTCCATTGTGTATATGCCACATTTTTTAATCCATTTATCTACTGAAGGGCATCTAGGTTGGCCACACAGTTTAGCTATTGTGAATTTTGCTGCTATAAACATTGATGTGGCTGTGTCCCTGTAACATGCTGTTTTTAAGTCCTTTGGGTATAGACTGAGGAGAGGGGATAGCTGGATCAAATGGTGGTTCCATTCCTAGGTTTCCAAGGAATCTCCATACTGCTGTCCAGACTGGCTGCACCAATTTGAAGTCCCTTCAGCAATATATGACTGTGCCTTTTTCCCCATATCCTCGTCAACATTTATTGTTGTTTGTCTTTATAATGCTGCCCTTCTGACTGGAGTGAGATGATATCCTAGAGTAGTTTTGATTTGCATTTCTCTAATTTCTAGAGATGATGAGCATTTTTTCATATACTTGTTGATTGATTGTAGGAGAATAATCTTTTTCACTAGTACATCATTATTTGTACTAGTGAGCACTAGTATTTATGACAGAGAATCACCATAGATAACTGACTCTCTAACATCTGGGGAAAAAAAGGTTTATTGCAGCTTTTCTGTACATTTAAGATTGTTTTAAAATAAAAATATGTTTTGTGAAATACCTGATTTAATTTTAAAGTATGAGAGTGGAGATGGAATGTTGGGCTCTCAGTAACCACAAAGAATAAGGAGGCTGAGTATCTGATAGCCCAGCATCTTAAGGGAGTAGGGACAGCACCATTCTTTAGCCAATTGTGTTAGGCCTGACTTTTTTACCCCTATGTTTTATTTATTTATTTTTATGTGGTGCTGAGGATTGAACCCAGGGCCTCAAATGTGCTAGGCAAGCACTCTACCTCTGAGCCACAACCCCACCCATAACTTTTTTTTTTTTAAGAAAAATGTAAAAAAAAAAAATCAAGAAGAAAATAAAAGGCTACCACATTACTTTGGAATAAATGCTATTAATAGTTAAGACTAATTTCTTACAGAAGCATATTTCTATAATAAACATTATTTTAAGAAAAAACCATGTAGAAGTTAAAAAAAAAGTTATATCATACAAACACTAAATAGCAACCAAAACAAACTGTGGTACCTGCATTAGTAGCAGACTTCAGAATAAGGTCTACAACTAGAGAAAGAATGGAATATTTCATAATTATAATGAGGAAGTTCACTGGGAGAACACAATAGTGACAAATGCTTATGTACCTTAGTAATCCTTAGCGTGGAGGTAGTACAGAGGTCTGGCTAATTTTTTATGAGGTTTCTAACTGATGTCAATTTACACGGAATTTCTACCCTAAAGTAATAACACTGATTTTGAGAAAGAAAAGGTCATACAATAAATGAGTAAAAATTGAAGAAATAATGTATTTGAAAAGGAATATTTCTTTATTGATGGTTTATCAGTATCATTAATCAGTAGCCAGAAGAAGGAATCAGATCCCTTTTGGAATGTCCTGCTAAAAGCCAGTCAGTTCGTCATCCTTGCTTTTGTTAGTCTGGTAACCAGTAAGTACAAACTTCTCATTTTGTCCACGAAGACCTTCGAATACTTTCAAGTGAATATAAGTATCATCACCTACTCGCACCTGAAAGGTATAAGACAAAAAAGGAAAAGGAAATTTATCATATGTATCTATACAATGGAAAAGAGTAATGGATCTAGGAAGACCTCACTGCACTATGCCTTTCTGGAACAGTGCTTCTAGACCTGGGCCAGTGTTCCTACACTCAGCTTCCATCGTATTTTATGAGAAAGGGCACGCTAATGGCATTACAAGAAGCTTATGTCCTAGTTTTATTTTATTATATTTTTTTATTATAATCTGGGTACAAATAACAACTCAGAGTATCATTTTTCCCCCAAAGATGCACAGAGCAGAAACAGGGGGCAGCCTATATTTTTGGTGATCCTTTTTTTTAACTTATAAATTAAGATACTTTGTTTGCCACATTATTTGAAAAGAAAGAACACAATCAGAATTGCTGAAAAACATTATAAAATCAGAAATGCCGAAAAATTTTGGGTTGTATGTTTTCCATCCCTCTACCTACTTTTATAAACACCCACTGAATGTTTTAGGACTGAGCGGGAGCAGGGTGGCCAGCCTCCCTTGTAAAGTTGAAGCCGTCTTAAAGTCATTGATATCAAGGTTGAGATGGTAGTTTGGCCATGAATCCAGGACCTGGAAAACCACAGCAAGGATTTCCACTTTGTTTCTTGGTTGGGACAATAAAAGTTCTGTCTTATATGGTATCTATTGTGCTCTTCTATCCCTTTCTACTTTAATTTTAACAAATGCCATTTATCAAAGTTTATTATGATACTATAAGATGGTGAGGAGCATTTTATACACCTGAGTATATTTACTTGTTATTACAGACCTGCATTTGGAACAATATCCATTTTACAGATGCAGAAGCGTGTAAAGAGATGATTATTTTCTATAAATCTCTCAGTGAGCAAATGGTAGAACTCAAATTCAAACCCAGATCTGTTAGATCCCAACATCTTTTCACTCTACAGTGCAGTTTTGTTAAAGCACTTATTTTATGTTTAGAACAGGGCATCAACCTTTGCAAGCATTATTAGGGGTAGCACAGCCGGTGCTCTGGGTCTCAATCCTGGCTCTGCTCTTACAGTTCTATGACCTTGGTTAGTTACTTTACTTAACCAGGGTTCAATATTTTCATCAATGGTACAATAGAAGCAGATAATACTTTCCCATAGATTGTGGAGAGCAGTGACAGTGATTGGGAGACCAGTGTCTGAGATTGGGGTACATGATGACTTCATAGTTGTGGTATGCTTGGTGCCTGGGAAAGTTTCTGTGCAAAGGTGCAGGATGCATGGTTGCTATGGTAATGTCCTTCATGGGGAGGCTGTGTGCTAGAGTCTTACAGCCTCCACTTTGCTTTCAGGTACACAGCTCCTGGGAATACAGGAATCCTCTTGCTAAAACAACCATAATATTGATAGCTCTGCCCGCATAATAATAACTTTAAACAATGGACTTTTCCTGGGAGCTACACAATGCTCGTAACATTGCACATTGCAACTGTAAAATGTAACTGAGAAATAAGCTGAATAATGTTGCCAACTCTGTAACTTTCATGAATACAAAGAATAATGCTTGCATAGTCCTAAATCTGATTAATGAGACATATATAATAAAGATTGCTGGTGTAATTCTTTAGACTTGCTTCTCTATCAGAGAGCAGCGCTCCACCCAATCCCAGCTGTTTATCTTCAAGATCTGAGTACGTGAGTCTTTATTCTTCCAATCTCCCATCACCCGTTGCTGGAACCTGCTAGTTTGATCACGCTGGTCTCCGCAGTAGATTGAGAATATTAAATGAAATGGACACGCCCTGCTCCTGGAACAGTGCTTGGCAGAGTGTAAGCAGTCAGAGATTAGTATCCACACTGTTCAGGTTAGGGATTAGGTTCAGAGGACAGCCTTTAATCACAGGCTTTGACTAGTAGAACGAGTGGAATAATGGTTCAAACCCAGGATGGTCTGAAACCAAAAGCTGTGATCCTTCCATTCTATTACCCTGCCTCTTGATAGGAAGGCAAGACACTGAGGGATGGTGAGGTCACTGGCAAGATCTTAAATCTAGAGAATAGCTCAACTCAAAGGAATCAACAGCCATACTACAGGAAGTAAGCAGGGAACTTTGGATAGGACAGGGTAGCAGGGTCAAGGGAAGAGACTTTCAAGGTCATTTTTTGATGAGCTTTTAAAGGAATGTATAAGGGAGTAAATATGTGATATTTATGCGTTTGTATTAATCCTAACTTATTAAAATGATCTTAGTTTTGATGGAAAGATTCCTATCTTTGAAAAAAAAGCATTTTTAACTGGGAAACTTTCTTTTCCAGCTGTGAAGAAAGGTTGAGAAAGGACAAAATGATGGCATTGTTTCTGAGGATACAAAAGGGTTTCCCTCATGTATGTCTCACCTGGGTCCGGTATTTGCCAGGAGACCAGATATGGTAAGACTGAATTGATTCGCCTATATAACCCAGTATCACAACCTCCTTCCTTCCTTCCTTCATTCCTCCCTCCCTTCCTTCCTTCCTCCTTCCCTCCCTCCCTCCTTTCCTTCCTTTACTTCTTTCCTTTTGTACCAGGAATGGAACCCAGGGGCACTTAACCACTGAGCCACATTCCAGCCCTATTTTTATTTTTTTATGTTGATTCAGGGTCTCACTAAATTGTTTAGGTCCTTGCTTAATTACTGAGGCTGGCTTTGAACTTGCTATCCTCCTGGCTCAACCTCCCAATTGCTGGGATTATAGGTGTGCACCATTGTACCAGGCTCATAGTTTTCTTTTTCGGGGGGAGTGAGTACTGGGGATTGAATGCAGGGGAACTCAACCACAGAGCCACATCCCCAGCCCTGTTTGGTTTTATTTTAGAGACAGGGTCTCACTGAGTTGTTTAGCACCTCTATTTTGCTGAGGCTGGCTCTGAACTCAAAATCCTCCTGCCTCAGCCTCCCAAGCAGCTTGGATAACAGGCATGTGCCACTGCACCTGACTGGCCCATAACTTTCTTATGCTGAACTGACTAGTTCCATGCATTTTATTTACTGTAAATATTAATTTTTTAAATATATTTTAAGTAGTTTTTTTGTTGTTAAAGAAAAATAAACCATACTGTGTCCTGGTTAAATGGCTAAGTAAAGAATAAGTAAATACACTTGAATGTCTGCTACTGTTGCTGTTCTAGTGCTGGAGATTGAACTCAGCCTCATGCATGCTAGACAAGTGATCTGTCACTGAGCTATACCAGCAGTGTAATTCTTCTTTAAAGCAGAATTGTCATCTTTTTAATATGTAAGAACAAGAGTGGCTCCCACATATATCCTTGGCTGGCTTATTGAATTGGTTCCCCTTTGGTAACATTGAAAGGATTTTTAGCAAGGTGTGATGGTGTGCACAGGTGGTCCCAGTGTCTCAGGAGGCTGAGGCAGGAGGATGGCAAGTTCAAAGCCAGCCTCAGCAATTTAGTGAGGCCTTAAGCAACTTAAGGAGACCCTGTCTCTAACATAAAGGGCTGGGGGTGTGGCTCAGTTGGTAGAGTGCTTGCCTAGTATGTGTGAGGCACTGGGTTCTATTCCCAGCAGCACATATCAGTAAATAAATAAAGATCAATTAACAACTAAAAAAAAAATTAGAAGAAAAGTCTTCCATTAGAACTGGGTCAATGCATCACTTAATTTTTTGATATAGCTATAAAACCAATATTTTAAATATGCCACTGCTTATTTAAGTAATTTGATCTACTTGAGTTGTAAAAATAATTATTTAAATTATATTAATCAAAATACTTAGTTAAGGGCAAAAGTGGTGTGCATTATTTTTCTAGATAATGATTCAAGCCATTTTAAAGATCCATTTTATTTGGACATACAGAATCATAAAGCTCTGAGGAACATACCCTTTAAGATACCATCCAGTTTGGCCCCAGGCCTTTGGGCCCTCCCACCATAAACCTGAAGCAACCAGGGCCATGAAATAAATGTGTTCTGAACATCTAGGAACTGTTTTCCTATACAAGTTCTAGAAATTAAGTTAAGAATCAATACATGCAAGCTAAATTCACAAGGAAAAAAGTAGTTTAAATACAACACCATTTGCCAGATTTGAGAGTCTACCACTTGTAAGGTATCGTGGTAGGCATCTTCACTTAGGACAGCCAGAAGCAATAAAATATATGTGAAATTATTATGTGAAACAAGAAACACCATAGCAAAGAAGAAATATGATATCTTTGAGTGCTAAAGTGAATATTGAACTCTAACCTTAATGTAGTAATTTATTCCAGCCACTACTTGAGTTTTGTACTCTACAGCTTCGAATTGTTCATAAGACTCATTTGTTTTTTCTTCAAGCTGTGGTTTAACCTTAAAAAGAGAAAAGAGGAAACAAATTACGAAAACTACATTGGCTTGATTTATGTGATTTAAAATTCTGGGAAACTCATGCTTCTAATAGTCCTCAAAGATGACAATGAGATCTGTGAGCTGTTTCCCATATTTCAACAGAAAACATTTATCTTTAAGAATACATGAATTAAACTGGGTGTGGTGGTGCATGCCTGCAATCCCAGTGACTTGGGAGGCTGAGGCAGGAAGATCACAAGTTCAAGGCCAGCCTGGGAACTTAGCTAGGCTTTGTCTTAAAATAAAAAATAAAAAGGGCTACAGGACCAGGGATGTGGCTCAGTGGTTAAGTGTCTCTGGTTTCAATTCCCAGTGCCAAAAAACAAAAAACAAAAAACATTACATGGATTAAAATGTCAAACTTTGTTGCTTTAGGCTGAATGAACATCAAATCTATGTGGTAATTCAATATAGGAACATTTTGACTGGTAAAGCTCCAACAGTTATATATGCCTTTGATTAATTAAAAAAAGGAAGAGCAATAATTATTACATCTTCTTTAATATTTATTTTTTTAGTTATAGGAGGACACAATATCTTGATTTTATTTTTATGTGGTGCTGAGGATTGAACACGGTGCCTCACGCCTGGTAGGCGAGCACTCTACCTCTGAGCCACAACCCCAGCCCAATTATTACCTCTTTTTAAAAATTGTTTTGAAATAATTTCACACTTAGAGTTGTAAAAATAATATACTGAATTCCTTTATAGTATTTACAGTATCCCCTAATGTTACCATCTTACATATCTACAACATAATCATCAAGACCAGAAACCAACATGGTATAATACTACTAAGGAGTCTAAAACCTTATTAGAATTTTGCCAGTTGTCCCCAAAACGTCCCTTTTCTGCTCCAGGATTCGACACTGCATTTAGTTAGCACACCTCCCTGGTCTCTTTCGTTCTTTGGTCTTCGTTATTGATCTTGACACTTTTGAAGAATACTGAACTGTTGGCAGCACGTCCCTCAATTTGGGTCTGTCTGACCCTCTCTCTGTTAGTGGTCTACATCTGTCGGTAAGGATGGCGTAAATTAATGTGCTCTTGCTGCATGTTTCCTTAATGCTGATGGTAACGTGGATCACTTAGGATGTCTGCCAGTTTCAGCCACAGTAAAGTTACTGTTCTCCCCCCCTTTGTAATTAATATAAATTTGGTAAGGAGACATGTTCAACTATACTATTTTTCATCAGATTTTCATCCACCAATTTTATCATCATTTGATGTTTCTCACCAACAGCAATTTTTCCTGTGGTGTATATCTGTTAACTGGAATTCTACTGGAAGGAAGACCTGTTTCCTTTTTCCTATTCATTTACTCAATGATTATTTCTGTTAATATGACTTGTAGGTATTTCTTTTATTTTAAAAGTTGTAATTCGTTATCATGTTTTTGTTGTTATTGTTGCTTCTCAACATGGCTCCATCGTTTCGTGAGCACTTCCTTACTTTCTGACTTGAGATGCTTTCCTCATGAAAGCATTTAATGTGCAGCCAGCTTCAGGCAAGCCCCCCAGGTATCTGGAGTTCTGCTGAGGCCATCCTGTCCTTCCCAGCAGTGGGCAGATGTTTTGAGTCCTTTGCTATTGGTGTCTCTTCATCCAGCAGAACTCTTTTTAAAGACGTAGGCATTTGCAGACTCTGTGTTCTCAGACCACTTTTGAAGAGCCACTCTATAAACTACTACCCTTTTCTCCTGTGCCCTTCAGAGTCAGTGGGATAAAGGTGATTGCATTGTTGAGTTGGAAAACAAAGCTCCAAAGTGGAGAAAGGGGAGAAGACATGCAGAGAAAACACCGAAATGACAAGAGAGAAGCTGACTGGGTGGGACAGGGGGTTTGATACTTGAGGTTCCCCTGGTTCTGACCCTTTTGAGCTGACAAAGGCAGGGTGACCAATGCTGGGTACCCACTGAGTCCTAACTGAGTTGGAAAGACAAACTCAGTCCTAACTGAGTTTGTCTCTATACTGACTCCCAACAGGATTGATTTAACATCATTTTACAAATAAGGAATTTGTGAGGAGAGCTTGATTGCTTAAGGTCGAAAAATTTCACAGTCCTAGTTATTAAAGTTTTTGCCTAAAACTAAAGTATCTGATCTGTAGTCCTGGTTTTCAGTCTTCTGCTCACTTTTTTTCCCAGCTTGCATCATAATTTTTAAATTTCTATCTCTTCTATGAACAGATCCAAATTTGTGACCTTTCTATGGTATGTGCAGATCCTAAGTCCAGAGTTTTCCATGACAGAGCTCATGCCAAGTGCTCTGGTTTATTTCCTGGGTGCCGTGGCACCTGTCACATGGTGTGCTCTGGTTTTCTGGTTCACTGGATGTGTAATCTGCAGCCTCCTTCTTTCTCACTTTCCAGTAGAAAAGATTTGCATGGTTCAGTGTTAGATGCTGTGGACCTGTGTGATGAGATTTGAGCAGGGGAGTAGGAAAAGGAGCAAACGGGGGAGCTTGTCAGTGAAACCTTGAAATTCAGAAGGATGGACACTGGGAGGATGAAAGCCAGCTGTGAGTGATGGTCAGGAAGCTGGTATGGACAGATCTTGTGCTAAACCTAAATTGGAGTTTCCCTGGCTCAGCCCGCCATGTACATTAGTAGCCAAGACACTGGAGGGCACAGTGTGGGTTTGGCACTTTGCCCCCAGTCAAAAGAAGGAAGCCATGAGAGAGGAGCACTTGGTAAAACAGATTTACTCCAGAGTTGTTCAAGCTTTCCTTCATGCTGCAAAACATAAATCCTGGTGTGTTGTTCTGTTTTCTAGGATCTGGAGATTGGATCACGTGGCACCCAACATTCAGGCAAATTTCCCTAATCTGTAATAATTCTTCAGAAACACTTGAACTATGCAGAGAATGGATACAGATGACAGTGGTGTCATGGATGGGCCATATGTTGGAAATTTTTACTAAATTTTTTAATTTAGAAAGGAGAGTGTGGGTAGTTGTGAGAAAGAATGGTGGGACTTGTAGGGCATGTCTTGTGGACATTTGCCATCCGATACATTTTGAAGAAAGGAGGGACTATGAGGCCAGGCACCCAGGATGAAGAACTGAAGTCAGCTGGCTCAGAATGGAGGGACTGGCTGAAGAAAGGAGGGCAGAGTCTAAGACTGGAGGGAGGGGTGAGATCCAACTGGGAAAAGGTAAATTGGGGCACCAGATGCTTGCAGTTTTCCAAGAAGGGAAGGAACTGAGACATCCTGTTGGAGGGACCATGGGAGGACAGGAGGGATTGAGAAACTGAGGAGACCAGAAGGTACAGGTTTCTCAAAAATGAAGAACAAATTGGACTGAAGGAATGTGCTAGTCCCAGGGTGTGAATTTGGAGTTGTGATGGGTGAGTTTTCTGTGGTTCTCATCTTCTTTGAGCAGAGATCTCTGATCTTGGAGAAGAACCTGAGGAGGAGGTGGCGGCCATGGGAGCGATCTCTAATTGAGGCCTGGAATGCCAGGAGCTCACAGGGTCATGGAAATCAGGGGTGGAGGAGTGTATGAAACCACTTGTCATGGAAGCGTGACCAAGTGGGCCCCAGCTTGTTCTGATGGAGATGGGAGGGTAAGTGCCTGGAGGATTCTGGTGTGGCTGAATGGCAGGTTCTCCCGGTGTGGGGCAGTGGGAGAGGTGACTGATGAGGAGGAGGCTGAGGGAGGAGAGGGGAACATAAATCTGTGGCTGGGGTTAGTGAGAACCAGGATATGTGAATTCCAGGGTGTGTCCAGGATGGCATGCAGATATGTTTGTGTGGTGTACTGGCATACAAAAATCATGTTTTGTGTGTTTGCCAGGAATGGTGTTCAGCAGGCTAGTGACTTGAAGGTATGTGGTGGGGTGTGGTAGGCATGAATATTTGTATGTGTAATAATAGTCCTAATTTCCAAAAATAATTATTAAAATAAGATTTCTTTCCTTCACATAAGCATACTCAGACTGAATTCTAATCCAGTGTTATTTATATATGATTCAAGATAATGGATCTGGAGGTTTCTGCTCTTGGGACCATCCATTGGTCCTTTATTACATATATCATGGCTTTTCATGGTTAGGTTCATGTATGGCTCTTTATTTCATCATGTATCTCTCTTACCTCTGTTCTGTTTTATAAATTTTCCTGGGGCCAGGGACTATTTATTGTCCTGCCTGCCAGAGCAGTTCACACAGTGTCATCTACATAATCAGCACCTTCTGAATGAGATGACCACTGTTGTTTTCCTTTATGACAACTTGTCTCCCCAAATAGAAAAGACTGAAAGAGCAATGACTGATTATCAACTAAAAGAGAGTCTTGGAAGAGAGGTCTTCCAAGAATACTCAGACCCAAGTTCTTCCAGAGTCTCTCAGTGCATAATCCATTCTGTCTCTATTGTCTTGTCTTCTGCCTTCAAAAATAAATACTCTCAGTTCTCAGCCCTTGGTTTGACTTTCTTTCTGAACTCATCCAACATCCCTCTTTAAATTAGCTGTCAGCTCCTGGCATGTGCAGTTGCTACTTGTCTGTGCCACTTTGCTCTCTCCTGTGATGACCTTTCCCTTCTTCTTTCCCTCCCACTCCAGTGGGCTTCTCCCTTTACTTGGTATTCCACTAAGAAGCTCCCAGATAAGGAGAGAGGAACCTCAGAATCATCAATTCTTTTAAAAGCTGAAAAATGCTTGCATTTTAACAGGTGATTTTAAAAATAGAAATGCACTTAAAAGTCGAAGGAACAAAACTACAAAGTAAGCTGAGCACAGTGGTGTAATTCCAATGACTCGGGAGGCTGAGGCAGTAGGATCATGAGTTCAAAGCCAGGCTCAGCAAAAGCAAGGTGCTAAACAACTCAGTGAGACCCTATCTCTAAATACAATACAAAAGAATAGGGCTGGGGATGTGGCTCGGTGGTTGAGTGTCCCAGAGTTCAATTGCCAGTACCAAAAAGAAAAAAGAAAAGAAAAGGAAAAAAAACCTACAAAGTAAACAACAGGCAGTGGAGGTCTTCCCTGGAACCCCGTCACATCACAGTAGGTGTTTGATGACCAACACCTACCCACTAGCCTAGCCCTGCCTGGGAATGCAACCGGTTCTATCATCTTGGAGGAGTTGATTGAATGTCCTCACTCATCGGTGCTTTCAATAACATCTGCCTCTTGGGGTTGTTTGTAGGGCAATAATTGATATAATGGATGTGAAAGTGCTTCCTAAACTGTACAGTTTACTGACTTCTTATACCTTCCAACACTAATCTGGACATTGTCCCTTAAGGCTATCTCCTACCACAGAGGGCAGATGAGAGACAAGGGAGAGTTTAGCAGCTGAGGAGCTGCACCCGGACAATAAGTGTTCACCTGAAGGTAATAAGGTCAGGAGGATTGACAAGCAATCTCTAACATCCTTGCTGGTCCAAAACCTAGGATCATGAAAAGAACTTAATTGGCTAATGTTCTAGATATCTGGGTTCCCCCATTGGCCTTTAGCTCCTTGAGGTCACGGGCCATGTCTTATAACCTTAATGTAGCATCTATGATATTTAGCACAATGCTAGACACCTAGGAGACACCCAAGAAACACACCTACCGAATGCTTCATCCATGTGTGTTTCTCATGATGATTTCAATGTGAGGCTGGAGCCTGCAGTGAGAAGGCCAGTCTGCCCTGCTATTCCTCCCCTGTGTGTTTCCTGCACCCCTGAAGCTTCTCCACGTGCTAATGCTGTGTGGAGGAAGGGTCCCGTAGTAAAAAAATTCTGGACGGAGGCTAATTTCTTAATCAGGTGACTCTTAGCCACTTTGATGGTTTCATCATCTGAAAATTGGACATAATGCCCTCTCTACCTCCCAGGTTATAAAGATCAAATGTGAGATCGAATGGAGGTCAAGGCTTTTAAAACTTCAAAGCACCTTTATGGGCTGAGGTAGCAGTGTTAACACGTATTTCTCATGATACCTCTGACAAAGTTGGAGCCTGAGGTACACAGCAAGAAACACTCTGTCGAATTAATTTTTTAAATTTAAGACAGGGCTCATGGATGGTGTGGTTAACAATGCAAGGCCTTCCAATAGCTTCTTATTTTTTAAAAGATTATTCTCACGGGGTTCAGTGGCACACACTTGTAGTGCCAGCTACTCAAAAAGCAGGGGCAGGAGGATCGCTGGAGTCTGCAAGTCTGAGACTAGCCTGAGCAACACAGTGGGACCCCATGTGTCTCTCTCTCTCTATCACACACACACACATACTTAAATTAAAAATGGTAATGAGTCTAACTAAGATGATAGGCTTTTAAACATCATTGGAATGTTCTATATCTTCTTTATTTCCAATGTCTATTGTTCCCTATCTCCTTATAGCTCTGCTTCCTACAGAGTCTCAGGGGATTTGGGGGATTCAGGGATGATTTCACAAAAAAATTTGAATAAACAATTATGGTGTCTTACCTATGCATATTTCTTTTTCTTTTTTTTTTTAAATTTTGAGTCGTGTTTACACACATTCTTATTTTGGTTTAGATTAGTGGGGCAGGAGACTTTTCCAAATGAAATTGAGAACTTTGATTTTGGTACCCTATTTTAAAAGCCTCATCTCCCAGGGGCCCTGGAGGATAACATATACCTCTGGTCTTGTAGGAAGGCGAGGTTGGATAGCAGCAGCAGCAGCACCTGCAATCCTGGTAGGAATGCAGAATCTCAGGTCCAACCCAGACCTCCTGAGTCAGAATCTGCAATTTATCAAGACCCACAGGGACTTTCAGGCACATTCAAGTTTGGGAACACTGATATGATACAGGGATCCGAATAAAAGTATATTAATGACTTAGTATATTCTCCAAAAAATAAAAAGGTCTAATGTTAAATAAACAAACTTCTGAAAAAGAAATATTTATTCCTAAAGAATATGAGTGCTAGAATTCCAGGTATCTGGACTCTTACAGATCTCTCAGTGCCCTAAAAAATAAACGATCCTATCTCTACCACTCACAAAGAAAGCCGATCTAGTTTGCCAGATAATGTCATTGAATGATGATTTGGAGGAAAAAAATAAAACAAAACAAGCATTAGAAAATGAGGCAATAAATTACAAACTTAGGTGAGAGCTAATCAAACACCACTTAAACTATATCAGTTTGCTAAAAACATTTAGAGTTCTATTCTTACCATAATCAATTTGGTGGCCTATAAGATCCTGGAATCACCATATACTATATTATTTCTTCCTAATTGAATCATCCTCTAACTATTAAAGGACTGCAACACTGTCTATTCAGGCAGATGTGAAGGAAGTCTGTAATTGACTGCCTTTACAATATTGTTCTTCATTCAACCCATTTAAAGATCATCTCCCTGAAGTGCATTTAAAGCCCAGTATATCAAATTGTCAACAGCCTTAGACTTCCACTACCTGTTGTTTTCACTGAGCAAGATTGGAAAAATTTCATAAATAACTGAATTAGTAATCTTAGAATCATACATTTAAGTAAAAGCCTTAGAGACATGATCCAAAATAAATTGTTATTTAACAAATGGGGAAACTGAGACTCTGACAAGCAACAGTGACTTGGAGGTCTCTCTGGCAAGTGTTGGGATTATTCCAGATTTTGTCTGAAAGCTCAGTGTTCCATTTTTAGCTGCATGAAAGCTGGATAAAGCCACATTTCTCACCAAAGCCCTGGTTTTCATGTTCACCCACACCTTTAACACAGGATCAAACGATGAATTGAGATTTATATCCAACTTTTTCCTGAAACGGCACCAACTCACCTCATTAGCAATCTGCTGGATTTCTTCAGTGGCAGGTTTGGCCTCAGTCAAGCCTCCAGGTATCATTTTGGCTAGTGTCTGCCAGGCAGGGTGCTGGAAGCCAAGTGCTCAGGTAAGTGCGGAGATAAGTGCTCAGGTAAGTGCGGAGGCAAGTTTTAACAGCAACCCAGCAAACAAGCTCCGCCTATAGAATGTGTTCACTTCCACAAAGAGTAAAGAGGCGCGGGAAAAGGAGTTTGCCCGAAGCGAGTTTTCTTGCTTTCTTGGGAGGATCTGTTGAGTGGAACTGGGAAGGATGCGGGTGGGGGGACCAGCGTGGGCGAGCCAGCTTGGGAGTCACCCCGCAGCAAGCCTCAGACTTGCCTCCCTGTGTTCTCGGTACCCATCCTGATTCCATCCGGTTGCGCCCTCTGCAATCCGACATGCGAAACCAGTCTCCAGATCTTTTAAAACCTCCAGTGTAAAATTTTATATTTTTTTAAAAAGAATAGTTTCAAATAACATCAAGGCTGGTTGTTCACAATTTACTTGAATTTGTGAAGACAATAAAAGGATCTGTAGGGAGGACTTCATCTGGATATGTGTACTTCACTTTTAATTTCTAGAAACATTTCAATTACAGAAAAGCAGTAGCAAAGTATATTTCTATTACTCAGAACTAAAGATTTTAAACATTTTGTCTTATTTACTTCACATCTTTCTTTTTCTTTTTCTTTTTTTTTTTTAAAGAGAGAGGGGAGAGAGAGAGAGAGAGA